ATTTCAGAACCATTATCAAGCTTAAATAAAAGAGAGAAATGCCAATTATTTACCTCTTCCACTGCAATTTCTGCAGCCACTTTTGTCACTTTCCCAACTGGGGAGGTCAAAATCAACATACACCCAACAGTCACAACCTCAGGCCCCTTTAATAGATTATTACCTTGCGGAAAAGACCCAATAACACCACTGCCCAATACATCTTCTAGGAGAATTTACTGAATTCCATCACCAGGTTTTACACACTGCATATGCAAAAAAACCCTCAGAAATTACGTATTTTCTTTCAACAGTTTTAGCAAAACGACCCTTAAGGACCCGAGTCATTTATCCACAATAAATATGAGATAAATATGAATCTAACTTCGATTCTTAGCTCACTCTCAAATGTTAATTAAAGTTCTGGAATTAACAGATGCAGCAACCTTTTTTGATGAATTTGAAATTCCGGAGTATGGAAAACAACCACAACCATCTCATCCACCTATTATAGTGGCGACTGTAATTCAACCTTAATGCTAGAGATCACTCAGGCAAAAATCAAGCATTTACTTAAAGGGTTGAACTATTTAAGGAAGAATAACAATTTGAGGCAGAAGACTCACCCATTTCATAAGCCTAGAGGATAGGAAAAAGCCTCTCTGGTGCAGCGGCTCTATGACCTACTGATGGCACCAGAAGATCTCCCTATTGCTTTCATGAGATTGGAGGTTGTGTGTTTCTTCTTCTATTCATAGCAAACCACTTTAGAACACATTATAAGAAACATAATGATTGTTCATCTGAAAATCTTGGGATGAACTAAGAAAACAATCCTTTACTTATTTACATAGCTCCATTGGCGTATCTGATACATTGGCGGAAATTTTTAGAGAAGCTTCCTTAATACGCTGGCTGAGAGGCGTACCTGCTAAACGATTTTTAAACATAAAAACAATTAGAAGAACACAAATTTATCATGTACATTGATCTAGATCTTCGTATTTCTCTCTCACTCTTGATTTGCTACACTGAGTGTTCTACTCCATGTCATGGAGTCCCCTAGGGATTGCAACTGTCGTATTAAAAAGATGAAGAAGGGTGTTTATAGTTGCATTGGCAGTAAGATGATGATCATAAGATAAAACAACATATATGTATATATAGATAATAATGTGTTTCCACCAAATGGATTCACATAATGTTCTTTCCATCAAAAGATGAGCAGCAGTGGGTTAATGGTTAGAATTTAGTATTGTTCTTTCCAACAGGATACATTTTGCAAATTCAAGTAATGTTCTTTCCATCAATGAACTATTTGTCCTTCAAGAATATCATCAAAAGAAATTGCAATAGATGTATCTTGTTCCATATCAAAAACAATAATGAATGGCAATGCAATATTATCAGCAAACAACACATATACGCCA